AATTGAAACACGTCAGATTGTGCCCCGAACCCACGGAAAGCGTACTGTAATACGGTATGGCATACAGTCTAACTACAATCCCACCACCACCGTCGAAGAACAATTGGACTGTCTGGGATTGTCCCCGACGTCCAGAGCATTATTGCGTTTGCTGCAACCTGCGTAACCAGGACCGCGTCAACGACAGCAACACCCCACATGCTGGTTCGTCGATCGAAAATGACCATGGGTGGCATGGAGGCACAAGAAAACACTAATCGGCCAATGCAATTTGTCCAATCTTATTACCATCCAATATCAATCATCGGAGCGCTACATGCCTGTTTGCTTGATATCTTAAGCTACTATCTCTCCGCTCAACCAATCTGAGCGCTATTATTAGGATAGATCGAAAAGAGCACTATCGAGTCCTGAAAAACTGATATTTCCTTCCATTCAATTGATTGTTAACATGGCCACACGATGAGACAGCCGTCACCGCAGTCAAGAAGAAGAGGATGAACGTCATATCATCATGGAATCGGGTCACTCTGTCCTAAGTGGCATCACTTTCTTTTCCAATGATATATAAGGGGGTTTAGAGTAGGGAAATTAGCTACGGAAGCCAGCCGGGGCCAGGCTTAAGCAAAGAACAGTCGAAATTCAGGACTAGGTTCAATGATGATGACATAGAGGGAGAGTTTGTCACATATTCTCCTGCTGAAACGCATTTGGTGGGGGGACGAGGAGGATGACAACAACGACAAGGAAGGATGCCATCATGATGGGATAGCACGTCAGGAAGTCATGGATGATGACATCGACAGCTTTGAGGATGATTCCTATTCCATGGATACAGGTAGTGCAGAAATGAGAGAAGCTGCTATCGGTGCTGGTTTCTTGGCAGTGTTAGTGGGCTGGATCAAAAATGATTTGCTCCAACACATGTTTGACTGCTTCAATCATATACTCAAATGCCTCAAGTGTGTCAAAGCAGAAGACGATGGAAATGCTCCACAAGAAGAGATTCTTGATCTTGCTATGGATGCTGTTGATGTTAATGATGCCATGCTCGCTGATCCCACTGCAATAACTGCTGCCTCGGAGCATACTGCCGGAACTGCTTCTGGCACAGCATCTGCCACTGCTACTGGCACTGCTACTACTACCACAACTACTACCGCAAGAAATGCAGCTGCCAGTGCCACTGTTACATCCACTACCACAGCAGCTCAGCAAACCACTGCCATTGTGGGCGTGCAAATGGCAACGTCAGCAGCACAAGGAGCGGCGGGGGCTACTGGGGCAGCAACTGCATCGGCAACGGCCACTGCAGTCACTGCAGCCACTGCAGCCACTACATCAGATATTGTGGGAACTCTCACTGGAAATGCCATGGGAGGGCACTCAATCGCTTGAATCACCATCACATCTCCCTCACCAAGTAGCTACCTTTGCAATTGGCACCCCGTCGGTAAACGTGTCAATAAATAGTACCACCCCAAATATCCCATTGCATGCGCGTCCTGTGGAGCCCCAGAAGAAATAGAGAACACATCCTGAGATGCCCCAAGCGACAATCGGAACGAACAGCATGGAAGAAGGCACTTAAGAAATACACCGACAAGCACAACACTCACCCAATGCTCCAAACTCTTCTTCTCTCAGCACTCCAGAAAAATACTCGATGGACAAGATACCACAGGAATTGAATACGATGACAGTGTTGCCGATATCGCAAACGCCCAAGCAGCCATCGGTTGGGATCAGCTCCTCAAGGGACGACTATCCAAACAGTGGGCGCAACGCCAGGATCAACACCTCAAGGAATGCGATCTCAAAACACATCGGAAAAATGGTCAAACCTGGCTGACAGGGATTATTCAAGAATTGCTCACCCAGTGGTTCGAACTCTGGGAGGCCAGGATTCATGATCGGCATGGCAAAGACGCACAAACCAAGGCACAAGCATCCAACCGACAGGCTATCCATGAACTTCAGCTGCTATATGACAAATACACCGGAAACCTCAGACCAAAACAGGTATGGCTTTTTCAAACACCAATCAACACACGATCCCAATGGCCCACAGCATCCATCCGGAAATGGATCAACACATGGGAACCAGTCCTTGAAGAGAGTTACGCCACACAGCTTGAGACTGGGTAATTGATGCGGGACCTCCACCTCCCATCCTCCCAATTCCCTCCTGTTTCCGCTTCCGTCTTTTTCTCCCTCCACCCAATCCACCCAGTAACTCTCCCTGAATTCATTTAGCCAAACCCACAAATCCGTTAGGAATATATGTCCGGCAAATCCACACGAGATATGCCATTTATACTTACATGTAACTTTAAATGCACCATCTCCCCTAGGGAGTGTGGTGCCGGTGAGGGAACCAGTGGCGGTCTCCTGTGAAACCAATCATCCCCGCTTCGGCCGGGAGCAGTTACCCAAAGCTTCGGCTGCAGCACAGTGATGATCCGTCCATTAGGGCCATATCGGTTATAAGGATTTTTTGTGTGTGGGAACTCTCACTAGTGTCGTTGTATCTGCTGGTACTGCCAGTCAAGTTGGTACGTGTTTATTTGAGAAACATTGGCCGAGACTTCATTCAGCTTATCCCGACTAACATTTCCCCCCTTTTCACTCAGGTGTGGCCATAGATGTGGGAGCTGTAGCCGTTGTTTCCACAGGTGTTTCTGTTGCCACCAATGCTGGGCATCAGGAAGTGGTTCCAACCCGTCCCCTTGTAATATTGCCAAATTGCTCAAGTGATGCCAGAACATTTCGGACTGGTTTCGTGGATATACACATTGAAGGCTTGCCCTTTTCCATCCCTTTTCCTTACCCCTCCTACCCCCTTCAAACTTCTTTACCAACCCCAACTCTCTTCAACAAAGAGCTCGTGATTTGTGGTGAATCATGGCTCCAACCTCAGTGTACAAATCCTTAGATAGCTAACAGGCGTCGCACCCTCTCAGGAGGCCAGTGTGGCCGGTGAGCAGACTTGACTGTGGGAAATACCCGGGCTTCGGCTCATGGGTCGTCCTCAAGCACATCTCGTCTGAATCCGTTATTAGATGTTCAGTTTTTTTTTAAGGCTTGCCCTTTTCCGGCAATGAAACTTCACAGCCAGAAATCAAAGAAGAATTGGAGTTTCTCTTTCAATTTGTCTACAATAATTTGACCGGGATGTGTCTTGATCCTTTTGACCGGGTCTTGTGGAATGCCACCTTGGAGAACTGGGAAACTGTTTCTCTACTCGAAGAATACAAAAATACGACAGTATCAGTAAATTCTTCTATCAGTGATCTCAGCAACCACAGCACACATCCGACAACAACCATCACCTACTGGAGAGCAGAAGTTTCCTGCACTGGGTGTCCGGAGTTAGAGCCGCTGTTTGATCATACCAGGATGACCGCTATGACTACCTCTGTTCAGAAACGAATACTCCAACATTCTCTTGGGGAAAATGATACCACCACCACCAGCAATTCAGCAGGGAATTATTCAAGGTCGTCCTTACACCCAGTGGGAGTGAAACTGGGTTATGATGAGTTCTTCTCTGTGTTTGCTGCAAGCTTTGAGTTTCATCTTGCTTCAATTGTCCAATCAATTTCAAATGAGTTGAACATGACCAACACAGCAACCTTGGACAGTCATTGGGACAAGATTCGGGTGACACAGGCCATATCAAAGTTGTTGATGCTCACATGGGAGTCCACAGAAATGAATGGAACAATGGAAGAACTGCTGACTGTTGCATCCCTTGTTGACGAACAAGACATTCAAGAATATGAGGAGTTTGTACGGGAATCTGGGGGGAAGTTATAAATGGCACCGTTCATGGTAGAAGAGCTTACCGCAATTGTAGACTGTCTGGAAACCAGCAACAGCATGGAATCCTCCATTTTTTTGTTCCAGATTGGGCCCAATTGATCAAGAAGAAATATTGAGGTGTTTGGATGGCGATTCATTGTCATCGGCCCAGTGTTCACTGATCTTGGAAGGTGTGATCGCCGGTCTCATAGATTCATCACCAGATAGTGAGGCACCAATAAGGATTCCTGCATTTGAAGGAGGGACACAAGAACTGGATTCTTTGAGAGATGGAGAAGCAGAACCTACAAGCCAAACCCAACCAGCTTCCCTGAACCCCTCACCACAGCCAACATCAACTTCTGCGTCCACCTTTGAGCCAACAGTGCAGCCCACACTAGAACCAACCTTCACTGGACCAACCCTCCAACCTGTGTCATCATTAGCAACCTCAACTGCCAGTGTGACATTGGATATAGCACCCCAGCAATCAGATCAAACACCTGTCCCCACATTTGCGCCTTCACCTGTACCAACAGCCGAACCTACGACTGCCCCCAAGATGAGTCACTTTTCTTCCTACAACTGAAGAGTCTGAACCTGTTCCAACACCCGAGCCTACCCTTGATCCATCTATTGAGCCTACACCAGAGCCTACCCTTGACCCATCCATTGAGCCTACAAGAGAGCCCACGCCTGACCCCACATTTGAGCGGACACCTGACCAAACAGCTGGAGCTACAGTTGTCTCAACCGGGTCTAATAGTGAGCAACCCCAAACTCAACAATCAGTGCCCCTACTACTTATCCTATCAGCGCCAACCAAATTGCCACTGTGTCGCTTGTGCTTTCACCTGAGCCAACCCCCGAACCTGTGGGTACAGCTTCAGCTGTTGCCAAAGTATCCCTTATACTAACACCCCAGCCATCAACACCCCAGCCTGTGGGAACAGCTTCAGTTGCAAAGGTCTCTGTTATTATATCACTCCAGCCAACAGAGAGAACACAATCTCCTACAACTCAACTACCCACTCTTTCTCCAACAACTCAACCACCCACTCGTCTGCCCACAACTGAAACAAACACGTTTTCACCAACAAATGAGGTGTGCAGCTTGCCTTTCACTACCTACGATGAAATTTATTACTTATCGCTTGAAGGAGGCACCAGTGTGTTGCAGGATGACCAAGTGACCTCAGCATTTGAGACTGCGTATCAAAATTTAGATCCAGTTGTCTGTGATCCACAAATCTTGGATGTGAGAGTAGAAGCATGGTATACCAGACGGTGGCTTCAGCAAGTCCGCCCACAAATTGGGCTGCGAATCCAAACCGAGCAGGCTGCCCCTGGCCTGCCACTTCCAGGAGCAGCCGATTCAATTGCTTTTGTGGCCAGCATGAATGCAGTACTCCAGGGCACTGGAGTAGTTGTTATTGGTTTCAGTGACACAGTCATTACCCGAAACCCATCACAGACCCACCTTCCCAGCAGCCATCTAGGGCTCCCAGAATTTTGCCTTCGCTACAGCCTTCCAGCATCCCTTCCAATATGCCAACATTTGCTCCCTCATCAACCCCAATAGTCACACCAGGAAATCCCACTGCAAATCCAACAACTGCAAATCCTTCCACAGTCCATCTGAAAGCCCCTCAATGAGGCCTTCTCATATTCCCTCTCTACTACACTGCCATCTGGGCATCCCAGTGAAACTCCTTCATTTCAACCTTCAATCCAGCCTTCTAGCAATCCTTCTTTCATACCAACGCCTCTGCCATCCAGGCATCCAAGTGACACTCTTTCATTTCAAACTTCATGCCCACCTTCCAACCAACCATCGTCTTCCCCCTCATCAATCCCTACAGAGACACCTGGAAATCCCACTAACAATCCAACAACTGAAAAATCCATCCTCAAGCCCTTCTGAAAAACCGTCATGGAATCCATCATCAGAGCCTTCAAAAATGTCAAGCCTTTCTCCATCCAATACACCTTCAGTGTTCCCAAGCGCCATAGCTTCAGTATCCCCAAGCAGCACCCCCTCAAACACACCCTCTAGCAGTCCTTCAGATAACCCTACTGCATCTCCATCGTTTAATCCATCTTTCAGTCCCACAAAAAAGCCATCAAAATTTCCGTCTTTCATCCCATCATTCAGCCCTTCAGCATCTCCATCAACTATGCCATCTAAGATCCCATCATCCAGCCCCTCAGCAGTGCCATCAAGCCTTCTATCTGCAGTGCCATCCATCAATCCATCAGTGTCACCAAGTAGCATGCCATCCTCTGGTCCAACAAGAAGTCCTTCTGACAACCCCTCGACAGCACCATCAACTTGCACCTTCTATGATCCCTTCTGTGACCCCAGGAAAGCCCACTGCTTCTCCATCAACAACTCCATCTGAGAGTCCAAGTCTAAGTAGTGCACCAAGCAGTAGGGGGTTGTCTACGGTATTAAATTTTAAGCCAGCGGAGCTGTGTAACCTCGGCAGAAAGGTTTCAGTGTAGAAGCAGATCCCCCTATTAGCTAGCTACAGGAACGTTGTGGAATGGGCAGTCGTGTATAGACAAGATGGTTTGGAATTAAGACAAGATTGGAAATCTCGTTTTGTCCTAATTCTCGATTAGGACACGACATCTTGTCCTATAATTCTCACTAGACAAGATTGGGTGACAAGACTGGTAGATTTAAGACAAGATCACGAAACCAATGACAAGGCAGAAACAAATGACAGCCACTCAACAGCAACAATCAAAAGGAGACCATGGCCGACATCGAAGACGATTACGACGATGAGAACGACATAGGGCAGCTTGTGGTTCTCACTCCTAGCGAGATGCTAGAGAGGGGTTGCTGTTTGCCGATTATTCCATGAAGACTGTCGACCGTTGCAAGGAATCAACCAGTGCCTTCGACTCGACAAACAAACCAAAGCGAACAGCTGACGATGTGTCTTTGAACGATGATGCTCGAGCTGATCTCGCCGATTAATACGGCGATACACACGGCGATATGGAGGCCGAGGCCGAGATGGATGACAAAAGAAGAACAATATTGTTGATTACGACGAGAGTCGGATGACGATATCTAACAAAATAGCTAGATGCTAAATTACTCAGAGCTCTAGCTATCCTGCATCCATCCACGAATACTGGTAGATGTGGCGTCTGCCCAATCCATCTTGTAGCAGCAAACAACAGTGACAGCCTCAAAGCAGCTTGTGAAACGGTGGAGTGGGTGCATGAATCGGCTGCTGAGAACCTTGAATTCTTTTGTCATGTCATTCAGCTTCTCGTGCCGTTTGAGAGCACGGCGCTTGAATTTTTTTACGATTGGCTCGTGACAATTGTTGGGTGTGCTCATGACATTGAAATCTTCCTCTGCATGATAGCCACTGTCCCCAATTGCTTTCTGCTTGCGTTGCCGAAGCTGATCTCTGAGGCCACGTTCGTGAAAGGTTGACAAGTCTGGCTCACCAGCCCGAAATGGTCCATTCATCCAAAGCAACCGACTATCTTTCACAGAAATGCCAAATCATAGTTCATTCCAGCCTTGTTGTATTTGTGGGAATAATACTCAGAAACTTGAGAGAACTCTGGGTGGCTCGGCTCATGTATCTAGCAATGGGTTCCATCAACAGTAATCGCCCAAATGTCATCAGCAGCATAATGCAATGGCCAGACAATTTTTCGTGCTTCAATTGTTGGATTCTCTCAACGTAAAACCAAGTCCAGTCTCTGCACGTGTTCACGATGAAATCCCGTCGCTGCAGCGCGCTCATGCTCTGTTGGATATTGCATGGACATGAGAAAATAATCCAGCCGAATTGATCCAGAATCTACGCGGCATTCTTCATTCTCAGATCGTTGGAGATCTTCAAAGATGGCGCACAGCACGGTTGGAGATGCTCCATATCGCGACAAGAACCTTTCGATG